ACCATGTGCTCATGGGTAATTAAATCCCGCCTTTCTCCACTAAGTAAATGAATGCTTATTATGCTCGCTTACTCAAACTGTGATTGACAGGCATTTTGCATACATTAGTCGCCATTTTAACTCGGGATTTTTACTGTCACTGCACGTTTCGACCGAAAACATTTATACATCAAAGGCCCAACCAGATGAGTGTAATCGCTAGCGTACATATTCATGCCCCCGTAGAAATGTATTTGGAATCACAGTTTGATCTCTAAACATTGTAAATGGCACATTTTCCTGAGCTCCCGCCACGATGTGAGCGGCTTGGTTCGGACTAGCATACTAATTGCGGTGGCCATCTTGCCCTTATTTATAGTATCGGTTCCCCTTTAAAAGCTAGCATTGGATATAGGTTCAAGTTTTCGAGCACGTGTTTTCAAAAAACATAATAGGCTTGCATAAATTAAAACCACCTCTCTTCTAATCACAAATGTCCTTTCACAGATGTGATACATTGACACACTACAATAATGATTAACAATTTGTATTTTGCAGGGCATGTTCATTCTGATGCCAGCTTTCATTATCATAGCATTTGCATCAAATCAAATCTTATTGTATATTGGATTAGCTTTATTTTGTTTTGGTAAGTAACTTATTTTTAAATAATTAATATTTCTCAGGAATACTTGTGCTAGTTTTACTTCATCACATCTCTCTTGAGGATAATGCACTAAATATTGAAGTATTAACTGGAGTAACAGGCATCAATGTCAATACATGTTGCTAGATAAATGACACTATAAAACAAAAGTATTGATTAAAAATTGAACTTTTATGTAATTAATTGTAATATTGTCAAGAAATGCACAAATTTTAATCAGAGTATACTACGTGTATCACTCCCATACTTGGATACTGTATATGATTAATGTCAAATCAGTTCCTACTAGACAAAACTGTGTTATCTCAGTTTTATACATGCTGTGTGGCTTTCTGTTGGTGCATTGTAAAACACAGTGTCATAATTGTAATCTTACATAACATACTGATAGTTCTTCTCTGATGCGATAGAAAAGAAATAAATGTTTCAAAACATTGTTAAATTGTCCACAATAATATTTGTAATTGTGTTATTGTTCACCTTTTAGGATATGTGAACTATCAAAAATACAATTCGTTAATAACAAAATACTGCACATAACAAAACAAAAGGATGGTTGCTCTTTGCTTTTTGAATGACCAATCTTTCTCAAAGTCCACATAACAGAATGAGTTTTCCCATTACAAGTATGCTTATAGGAGCTCTGTGAAAAAATGTTTGGACAAAAAAATTCAGGAGGATATTTAAATATTTGAAAAAAAATATGAATTGAAGCTAAATTACTATATTTAGAAATATTCACCCACTGAATATTTTGGTGGTACAACTCATTTAACATCCCAAACATTCATACATATAAATACTGTAACTTTACATGGGGGTGATTTTAAACAGGATGCAGGCGGGTGACATTCATGGGTGACATCATCAAATTAGACATCAGATGTTTACAAAATCTCATCAAATATAATTATTTTCACATGCATAGTACACTTACAGATGATTGTGATATTGTTATTTCAGCATCAGCTACAGTGGTTCCCTGTATGACAACCATGGTTTCATCTTATGGTAAGTATGTAGTTATGTTTAACAAAAAATGTATTATCTTTGGAGATTGTTATAGCTGTTGATGTCATAATTAACACACGAATGTCATAATTAACAAACAAATTGCTGATATGGATTGTGATACTGAATAAAATCATTAAGTTTATGTATCACTTGAAATTTTATACAAATATAGTATTATGTGCTTGTATGACCAATCGTGTCAAACAATCAGTGTTCTACACTTAATTGTATACAGGATATGCAAATGACCAGAGAACATAGATACATGGAAAATTAGATTGTGTTTCTAGCAATTCACATGCTGTGGGGCGTCTCTGTATATTATATTAATTAATGGTAATTGCCTTATTATTAGTTTGTAAAAAAAATCTAAATTTTAATTCTAATAAATTTACATTGCATACTGATGACAATGGTATTCTGACTAATCTCTCTTATATTTTTACAGGGACTGTAGCTCAGAAGGGAACAGTTGTAGGTATATTTCGATCACTTGGAGGTCTGTCAAGGGCTACTGGTCCAATAGTAGCCTCTATTGGTAAGTTTCTAGTTGTTATATAGTTCTTTTAAGGCTGTTTGACTAGAATTTAGATTGTGCACTACTGGTACTGAGCATATTAGTACACAAATATGCAATGCATTATGGGAGAAAACCTTCCATTGCATATGATGGGAAATATCACCCTGGAAACTTACTGAATCATATGTCAAGTTTCTGAAATGAAGAAATATTCCTACCATAGAAACTAATGTAAAATTCCAATTTTGACTATTTTCTACGACACTTGAGGGGCTCTTGTATCATGAAAAAAATTGTCTGGTCACCCAGTTTTGTTTCATTTTCGGTTTCCTGAAGATATGAACACATAATTCTGAAAGTAATATGAGTGTCGCTTAAACTCCTTAAGGTAGAGTGCTTACCAGTTAGTTTTTTTACATTTTTTAGTGCATTTAAAGCAGGGGAGTCGTCAGATGGCCATAGCGTGTCATTATTCACAAATAAGTGTCTACCCATGAGCCTTTGCGTTTTTAGCGTGTTTTGTTATCGTCACTTGGGACTCAATTCCTGCACATGCACAGGCGACGACCCTCTCGCTTTAACATCAACAATATTTTGTGTCAAAACTGGCCATTATTAATATTCGCTACAATGAAAACAGAAATGTTGTTTATGACAATTCCTAAATTATTCATAAAATATTTATCTCAGCAGGCCTTTTAACTTCATTAAAATTCAATGGAGATTCTTTCATTACACGTAGATGCCATTTGGCAATGTATATTACCCATAGGGTTTCTTCAATCATTGACAGATTTACTGCCAACTAAAGTGAACGATATTTGTTAGCGAAATGCTAGGTTTGTGATTGGTCAAGTTTCAATCATTGAAACATACATGAAATGTCGTGTAACGTTAAATGTTGCATATGTAATATAAATGACAAAATGACATCATTATTTTTTCGAGTAGCATACAATCTGGTTTTCACCTGGTATATCAGAGAATACTCTTTAATAATTCAGTAATCTGTTTGTTTTTTCTTTTGTAGTGTATTGGAGTGTGGGATCCTCATTTTGTTACTGCATTGGTGGAGTGTTATTACTCATACCCACAATGTTATTACTGAAAACATAACAGACAGCGATTGCTTGAAGTCTGTCATTATACACCAATAGTTGCCTTAATATTAAGAAAAATTGTATTAGGAATTGTATTTCATTTACTGAAATAAAATTGTTCACTACTGAGCATGTTACTGCACATATATGCAAATCATTGTTGGAAAAAAAACTTGCCATCGTATATATTATGGAAAACTATTATTATATGGAAACATGATAAATTAAATGTCCAATTATTTGGAGTATTAGGATTCATATCAATAATAATAGTATGACTTTTCATCTCGTATCACCAATACAATTTTTTACCATTTTCAATAGCATTTCGGTGACTCCATTTTTTTTTCAATTTCGGCTATCCCGATGATAATGGAAAAAGCATACAAGGTACATAAATTGGGTTTATTAAAATACAATACTAATGAAACTATAAAAAAGACTACATATTATTTTTAATTCTACTTGAACAATCTTGATGTATATTTACGTAATGTGTCATATGTGATTTGATGGTGTCCACCAGGACTAAATGTAGAAAAGTGACTGTGACAATTTTTCCTGACAACTGTTTTGTCACCCAACATCAAATTGGTTTTATGGTATAAAGTGATATTTAAAGATTTAAATTTTTGATTGTATTTTAAATAACATTCTACAAGCTGTATGAGACAAGTTTAAGAGAATTCTGTTATTCAGCGAAAATCATAAAATTGTTTAGCAATACAAATTTCACTTGCATTCTAAATGCATGGAGTCATAGCGACTTTCTATTTTGTTCTATGAATGCTAATACATTATCCAATAGCAAACATCTCTAATCAGCAAAAATTACATGTTTATACCGAGATTGTGTTGCAGTCTTAATGATTTTATATATTTAGATATATTTAGCCCCAAGTTACCCACAATTCACAAAATATAAATTATGTATAAAACATACACAACAGGTCTCGCGTTGCTTGCTGGATAGTTCTCAACCAACTTAATTTGTCTGGACCAACAACAAAATTAAGTATACAGTAGTCTAGAACAACCTTTTGAAAACCAAAATTGTTCCTGGAAATTTGCTAGTGATATATTTTGTATATTTTTTTTTTTTTGTATTTTCAATAATTTCCCTGCTAATTGTAGACCATGGGGTCATAATTTCCCAATGCCAACATGCTTTGATCAAATGTTTTTGAAAATGATTTATGTTTATTTCAAACATTTAATCATTGATGTACACAATATGACTATGAATTATCTCATTGATAGGAATGCAGCTGAAGACGTCCTTTACCAAAACATACATACTGGTAGTATACATAAAGAATTGTAATTTATAAGTATACTTATTGTTAATTTTGGTTGGGAAATCATCTGTATTAACATGTGTAGTTAAATCTGGTTTGATTGTCATGCATTTTATGGGCTATTTAATATTCTCATATTGCTGTGTATAAAATTGCTTGGAATATTGAACCTTTTGAGGCAATAACTGAGAAATCAAAACCACAATCTAAGAAAAATTGTTGATAAGATATTAAATAATGGAGGTAATGCAAATCAAATCATGAAACATTCATCAATTGGAAATTAAATAAGAGTAATATATTAGTGTGTTAATATAATCTAAAAGTATACACATTGTTCATGTATGTAGAGTAAATTGTATCTGAATTATAGTAATTGTATGCTATCAGCAATTTTAGTTATTTATGTATTTTGTATCAAATTAACCATTCATTTCAGGAAATGGTTTGTATTATCTGAATATATATTCTTCTGAAGTAGCCTGCCTTTAAAAAAAGACAATGTATTCTAACATGAATTGTATACTCATTTCGACCACTTTAAGATCCACCAATAAATGTCTTAGATTAGATAGAACTGAAAATGGCAACTGCCCAACAAGTTTGGCACTATGATTACTAAAAGTATATATCCTGTTTATATCTGCATTAGCGGCGGTAACCTATTTACAGTATTTCTCACAATTAAATCATTGTAGTTTATGTGACATTTTGAAGATTCTCTGAGAAACAAATCTACAGGCTCATTTTGAAACGGCTACTTATGTCTTCCTGTTGTAGTATTTATCATCTAATAAAAGATTGACATTTCTCAATACTTATAGTGTTTCTGTACATCAACAGTGGGACTGAATACATAACAGCACAACATTTATAGTTGTTTCACCTTTGGGGTCAGGAATGTTGCAGTGAAGTTTGTAGAATCCTGGGAGATGGGACAGTGGGTGGCGTGTTCGCAAAGCCAAGCTGCAATTAGCACCCCAAACAAAAAAGTCAGGAAAGACAGTAAGGACTTTGATGTCAGGAAATACAGAATAAAACAAAAACACAACTTTTGATTGCTTTGAGATACGGGGACATGGTAGTTTCATACTATATACGTGATGTGAGGATCGTCATTCACATGTCTGGTTTATTAGACCCCGTTAGGACACCGTCCAAAAACGGGGACTATTATTATGGGGTTCGTCTGTCCGGAGCCATATCTCGGGGACGCATTGACCGATCTCATTCAAACTTTACACAAAGACAATGCATCACATCTTACAGATGCGTTTTTTTCATTTTTCTTTCGTGATTCGAACAAATTTCGCCGACTTGTGGCCATTTTTTGTTTACACATTTACACATGCCCTTTTCCCAAAATGCACTTTTACAGATTTATTCAATCTTCCTAGTAGACATAGACTGTATAAATGAAGATACATCAGCACCATTTGTTTTGTGTGTTTTAATTCAATTCGGCCGAACAACGATCAATTTTGATGTTATGTGTTACATTGTTACGATTTTGATCCAAGTTATGAAATCTCTAATCTAGGCGTTATTTCGAACATTGCAATCTTTCCTGACCTCTAAATTAGACTCTAATTAGAGTCTAACTGAGGTTTTCCATAGTCACTGACTCCTCCCTTAGCTTTGGCGGAAGTTTCCCATGACTAACTTCAAATAAAACGCTCATTGCAATCAAAACATTTCACCATCGCACACATAGGGCATAATGATTGCGGCATACAAAAACTGAGGATCACCGGCACAAGTCTGTCTAGTTATGTTAGTCACGTAAAGAGGACTTCGCTGTCAGAAATGTTTTTAGACTCGAAGATCCTTCAACAGTATGTACAGAAACGTCAATTCTCGTACAGACACTGGGCGTTGTAGATGACACAATTAAATCAAACAGAACAGATCAGACAAGCACCCTACAGTACATGAACAGTAAACAACTGTACCCTGTTGTCATCAGGTATTATAAGTGATGCATATCAGATGAGATTAGAATATTAATCATAAATAATATCTTAAGTTATTCAGCTTCCTTCTTAGTTGCTGTCAGTCATATTGTTCAAAGAATATGATCCTAATAAAAGTTCAAAATCAAGTTAATTGTATTTCTTGCAGTCAAACGTCAAACACAGAGTGACAATTTGCTATTGCATAGTCCTGAATTTGAACCAGAAACTAAAATGAAGAACATAACAGCTAAACTCATAATGAAAATTTCATTGGATAAATAATATCTATATATTAAATATGCCCTTTAGCTTGAATGGCTTTGACATATAGTATAGCCGATAACATGCGCAGTCGTGAATTAATATAAAGGTTAGCATCTCTGGAAAATGGGTGACCTTTAATTCCAAAGCAAGGTTCTACAATAGTATATACGTACATTAGTTTTTCATTTTGACTCTGACAGTCTGGTGGTTATTTTAGTCCCGCAAAAATAGTTGAACATGTCAATCATTTCTTGGGCATTGTGGATTTTATTCAAACTTGGTGCAGATGATGGTTTTGATGCATGTCTGGATTGTAATTTAATTCAAAATTCTGACTGGTGGTCATGTTTTATTTTCATACTTAGATTTTTATTAAGAAAGTTCTGTACTCGGTAGATTACAAATTAACATGCTGAATATTCCTGCAACATTTAATTATAATCTCCAACTGACAATATTTTTATTTGGCACAAAAAACGGACGGGGGACTATGTCATTGACAATGATTTGTAAGTTTATCTTATAGAGATTACATTCACAGACTAAACCAAAGTAACATTTATTCAAGTTGTCGTATTTATATCAACTAAAATGTATGTTGAGAATAATTCTGGAGGATGTATTTAATTTTCTCGCTGCCAATATTAGATCCAGTGATGACCAGTGCAACTTTCTTGTCTTTGTAATCTTCAGCCACAGACAGAAACGCAGCAATTGGCAAAGCACTAGCAGTTTCAATCACCTGTGAAAGGAAGTTGCGGATAGATAATTTAGTCTGCACCCAGTCTTTATTTTTTCTTGTCTTATAATACACAGTAATCTCTTACAACAGTGTGGATTGGAAGTGCCCGTTTAAATCAACATTGGTTTGTCCCTAACTTGTAAGATAGCACATACAAACAAATGATAGCAAGTACATTCAGCAACATTAAAGCGGGAGGGTCGTCACCTGTGCACGCGCGGGAATTGAATCCCAATAACATACGCTAAAACGCAATGAAGGTTCCTGGGTAGACGCTTGTTTGTAAATAATAACACGATATGACCATCTGACGCATGCGCAGGTGACGACTCCCCACTTTAAGGTATAGACAACTACACGTATAGTGAATAACCTTTCAAGATCTCAAAGGGCGATGGTCGTCGCGTTGCGAGATTTCTTGTTACAAGTGAACAATATATTTTACCTCCGTTGTGTACCTCGTTATGGATCCCATATAGAACAGGACGCAGCGTGGCAACTACCACCTTTTAATATGAAGTGATGTGATTTATTTAAACACAATATGCAAATGCAGCAAAGGAAATAAATATTTCTATATTCTAGTTTTTATACAAGAAAAAACAAATCTCACCTGGCGATGATGAATTATCATAAACAATACCCCTCTAGCTATTGCCTCGTTTGAAACTAACACCCATCTATCTACGAGAGACTTACATAACTTAGTGCAAATCTGCAAAAACATAATGGAAAGCGGGTGTTATCGATTGTAACATTGGTGAGAATATAAAGCATGGTCGTTATTTATTTTTGTTATGTCAGGGGCACTTCTGAATGGATGCAAAAGCGACCGCACTTGAGAAAACGTTCAACACGTAGTACAGTGGCGGCGGCACAGGGGGACAGAAGTGGCGATCGCCCCTCGAAAAAATGTTGGAGGGGAGGCGTGGCCCCCCCCCCAAAATGAAGCTGAAACTATTTTGTGTCAGCAAAATTTGCCCCCCCCCCCCACAATGCAGGAATGGCGTTTCAGAGGGTCTAGATTTCCAAATTGTTGAGGGGGAGCATGCCCCTGTAAAGCGCAAGGTTGGTGAGCACCACCGCCTCTGTGGCATATCGCATAGTATTTACACGCGAGTGTAATTCAACAAATCTCGGTTATCATTAGTTTTATTTGTTGAAGATACAGTTTTTTTCTTTTACAAACTCTCTATAATGAGTTTCGAACACAAATCACAATGTTTAGTTTACATTTGATTTTTAAAAAAATCGATGACCCCATTTTGTATTCGTGCTAATAGCTTTTATTAGAATAAATCTCGCGTGAAAAAAAATAAAAATGAATAAACATACCAATCGAATAAAGGTCAATGAAATGTTAATTCCGATAGTCAATCTAATTATACTTACCGAATTCTCGTACACACCCCCAGCCGTGGCATCACTAATCGTATCTTGTAATTGCAGCTTGTCGTACTTACCAGTGCGAACTAAGTGCTCCATTGCACGGTTTGTCTCTGGTTGGCATCCAATAATCTAGAACAAGAGCAACCGCCTACTTGTTATGAATGTTTATAAATTGTACAATTCAAACAGATGTCAGATGGGATTGTAACATTTTCAAATGACGTAGTTTTGTACTGTGCTCGTTGATTGGCTGATTGGTTTCAATAGCTATTGGAATTTGTAACAACTAAGGGAATGGGGTTGTGATTGCTGTAGTATAGAAAAAGTTCATTGTATTACGAATTTTACTTCTTTCAACTACATTGTATTTACAAGTAAGATGTTTCAATACCATTACATTGTTACAATACAAACCAAGAAGTATTTCTTTGACACATCCGGACTGAAAATCTCACATGATACTAAAACCCCTGAATAACATGTTTCGCACTGCTGATTGTTCCATCTTATATATATTACTGTGGCCCACATACCTGAATTTTCGGGTTGACAGTTTTAACATATGCTGCAGTAGGAGAAACTATACTACCCTCGCCTACTGGGAAAAATATTACATCAACATCGGGTAAGTCTTCTAAAATCTCCAATCTGAATAAAACAAGAATTTAACATTATGTACACATGCCAGGGTTGGTGTTGTCATTCTCTCACATTCTAGTATGCTAAGCTGTTTGAAGGAGAGACGGAAATGTGAAATGCAAACCACATCGACAATCTGCTTTAATGGCAACTGTATGTAGAACGAACTACGATCACATCGTGCTGGCTGCCAAATTTTCAAATTTGGAGCAAATTTGGAAAACAAACTGCAAAATACAGACAGGTTTAATAAACTCGATTGTTTGATAATCAGAAAAAAAATACGGATGTAGAAAAAACACAAGACCAATGCAACGCACAATTTGATGATAACGTGAAACAAAAATATTAACCAGAACATTTGTGTTATTTTCATACGTGTATTGGTGCACCAGTTTTGATGAACATCTCGGTCCGGGAAAAAAAATTTATTAAAAACCCACGCCTTCAATAAAATGCTTGACCATTGAAAATGTGTTTCGCATGGGCGACTCGCATAAGCGCCGCTGGTAAATTTCTACTACTGACAGACCGACCCCCCCCCCCCACCTCGGGCATGGTACTGTTGTTTGAGGAATGTTGTATGCCCAGTCGTTGCACATCGCGCTGACATTCTTACCACTGAGGCCACACACATTCTAATCGTCACACGAATTTGACAAGTAAGCTCCCAAATATAACAAAACATTCTTTAATTATATGCTATAAGCATCGATATATATGAAGATTTGTTTGCCTGATATTACAGTTATTCGTATCTGTGCAATAATCGTAACAATCGTGACAATCGTGACAATTCGACATAAACCCTTAGTTGCAGTTTATACATTTTTATCTTGCATGTTCACTCAACCTAACACGTATAACTGCAATGAGTGTCATTAGTTAAATTTGTTCTATATTTGCGCAGACTCGATTTTTAAACTGAAGAACGCACCTTTGTTTAGACATGCAGATCCACGTAATATATCATGTAAAATACGTGACATATTTAAGTCGGTATGCAAATAGGCGGTGTATTTTAGGAATTATACATGATTGATATGTTATAGGCAAGTACACAGCATGTATCTATTTATCGTCAAATGATGAGGCAGTAGTTATTTTTTTAATCATGTTTTCAATGACATTTTTATCAGAATATTAGGCACCACATGATGTTCGGTATTATTACATGGAAAACATTTTTCAGGTAAATGAAATATTGATATAATATTATGAATATATTACCCTACTGTACCATTGCCTCCAAGAACATCAATGTCATTGCACGCATCAATCAGGTCAGACCCTTGATCCTACACAAAATACAATGGGTTCAAATTCAACAGCATATTTGTCACTAATTGGATTGGGCAAAATGGAAGCATCTGCTACTGTGTTTGGGGCACACAATCAGTGTAAATTGCTGCAAACATTCAGAAACGTGAACTAATGTATAATAGATTCAATAGTATTCACACTCTTATTGCCATGGAATGATGTTTCATTATACCTTGGACAGGTTAAATGTGTTCATGTTTCTCCTTCAATATTATATGTCAATTGCCACGGCCCAAGAAAAGATTGAAGAGACTTAAAACATAACAGGTTTGACTCGTTTTCTAGATGTCCCCATACATAGGTTGTCATATTTTGAATATAAGCTGCCATGCTTGAAATATTACCACAACAGTAAGACATCAGCTTATAGTTAGTGATTGTCGCCCTCAACGTTCTATGTACAGCCTTAAACATTTAACATGAATCCCTGTCTAGACGCTGAATTGCGACTCTTTCAGGTTTTAATTACGAGCCATTCATTCAATCTGCATGAACTGATAAGCATATCTGATTACAGATCATATATTTGCACTTCACCTTTGCGATAGTTTCCGCCTTGGTGCCAATATCCCTATAGTCCAATTTGTGCTTGATCACTTCAGCATTGTATTTGACCATCATTCTTTCTTTCAGTTCGGTGATTTGATCTGGAACATGAACTTGTAAAGATATACCAAACGTGTGACATGCCAAAGCCTGTGTGCATAGAGTGATGTGTAGTCAGTGAAATGTGATGTGTCTGCAAGACTTGGGTATGAGTGGGAAAAAGCTGTCATTCATAAATGCCACATGAGATGCAAAGGTTGTTAGTTATGAGGATGGTCTGGATTCATGTGAGCTGTGAAGATTACAACAGTGCAACATACATGAACAAATGAATAAAGAATACATCTGTAATAACGAACGTTAAAATATTTGTATTGAACTAAGGATACTAGGCGTATATATACTACACGTGTTTTGTTTTTGTCCGTGCAGTGACTTTAGTATGGTGGGCACACTCCCTCTATTACATTGATAAGACACTTGCCATGACCACGAATTCGAATCCTCTGTTCAATGTCGTAATAAATATATGTTCGTGTGCTTATAATTATCGTTGAATGATTTCTTCAAACATATTTTCTGTATGTTACTTTTGAGAAATGCAATGTCACAACAATTTGAGTAGTGCAACTACTTCAAAATTATAGAATATTATGCAAAGTTTATGCAAATTAGAAAATATAATATATTGTTAGCATTGGACAAGAAGAACATTATAAAATCAATACTCTCTTCTCTAATTGCTCTTATATAAATGTTCTGTTTATAAACCTCACCTTACTAAATGGTAACCCAACTTACATACGCAATGCCTGCATTACCAGTAGATGTTATAATCAAACCTGTTTTTTTCAGTCTTGCTTCTTGTCCACTTTCTACCAGTTTGATTATTTTATTAAAAGCGCCCCTGGCTTTAAAGGAGTGTGTTATTTGCTCAAACTCTAAAAAGAAACGTCAAATAAATGATAAATGATCAGAAAGTAAGTGGCAGATCGAGAAGCTGACAAGCAACCTATTTTCTCCATGGAGAATGCCTTTGATATGTCAGTCTGTCTCAGCCAGAAACTTCAAATAGGTTAGCGTTGCATCTGCACAAGTGTGAGGAAGGCATTGTCACTGTTTTCATGATCATATTGTACTGGATAAGGTACCGGTAACACTGGATGTCATAATGACAATAGTTTCCACTAATCTTGTCGGTTATGAAACCAGTGTACACACAGAAGACTACTCGCCTACCATGATCAAAGACTACAACAGGGCTAGCCTAGGATTGGTAGTCTGTGCAGACGCTGAGAGACTGGTCTAATGTTATTAAAACAGCAAATATCCATGTGACCCTCTGTATGGTCCGGATTCGTTATGCAAGTCTTATTATAAACCAAAATAATCAATTAACCTTGAACATTTGACTGTCTGGGGAGCTTTAACTGTTCTCTCATTTTATAGCTCTACTGTGTTCTGCTGAGAAGGACTAAGGCTTGATTGACGAAGAATTAATGAGCAGTATTTGATTCTTTCTTTTTTGCATATTGTTGGCGGTGGGAGCAAGAAAAAATTGCTGCCTTGAACCTTGTGCATGTATTATTTCAGAACACTAAAGATCAGGGGAAGACAAAACAGATAATTGTCTGTTATGCGGTAGGGAAACAACACACAGAAACATCCACTATGACTATTAGCCATTAGGTGAAGCACACCAAGTGACAACCTCCCAACCTTTACGTTTACATTCAGCAGGTCAGCTTAGGATGAGGTTTTGTGAGAGAGAAACATGATGCAGAGATCTATAGGTTGGAGTATCTGTTTCTCAGGCAAAGTAGCCTGCTTTCAGAGAGGCTTATATCAGTTTAATTTGCACTGGTATCAATGTTAGGACATATTTCCAACAACTTGTTACTTGTCGTGAAAGTAAGCTATCCCTCCTCGCTCTAGGAGAGTATTCTGAAGTTAAACGATTTTGTTTCAATCCTCTGTACATGCCACCACTGGAACCAGGGGTAAAGCGACATGACGCTTTTGTTGTGTTTAATCAGATTTGTGCCTCCTCTTTATACTTTGGGGACTTATAACTGACATGTGATTGGTTTGGAAACACTGATAGATCTCTATGGTAACTCAGTATCGAATGCAAGAAAGGTAGGTATGATGTAGCTACATAAAATTCCAAATCATACTAGCGGGTAATTAGTGTATGATAGCAATCTGATTGCATGATTTTTATACAATATTAAAATTATAAATGCATTTATGGAATTATATGCTAATCAGATAAATAATAAACAAATGTTCATTCATACCTAACTTTAGGAAAACCCTAGCATTGGTAATGTCACTGAGTTGGTCTGAAAACTCCAAAGGTGTCTTCTTCAAGTGAGTGTAGATTCGTTGTGGGGCATCTAGTACAGATTCATGAATATTCATTACGTTATTCATTTTAAACGTATTATTATTTTCATTCAGGTTCTTGTCAATAGCTGCAAAATAAAGAATTAACTTACTTAATGATGTAGTGAAATTGAAATAATAAGCTCTTAGAAGTAAATCTTATTGATTGTTCTGTCTACAGTTTCACAAGTCAA